AGCAGGCAGTTTTGGGGGGTCTGGGCTGCCCCTGTCCCTGTCCTGTAACACTACCTTGATCGTTACCCTGGGCTCCTCGAAGGTTATTGGGGTCGACGAGTCTGGGCCTCTTTGGTCCTCAGCCGCCAAACCCAACACCGCCAGTGGCAAGAGTTGCATGGGGCTGGAAGGACTGGCCCACCACAGCCAGGCATGGAGGGACAGTCACTTTTCCAGTGACCCTGGACATTGCAGATGGGGCACGGTCCTGGCAGGGGTTGGGGCATTGTCTGGACCAGTGGCTTCTTGGCCACACTTGAAGCAGGCTCCCAGCGGTGGTGGGTGGGGCCCATGGGGCCCATTGTTGTCCTCTGTCGGGCAGCAGGTGCTGCAGTGGTTGGAGGAGCAGGGCAGGTGGTCTCAAGGCAGCTACTAGGGCCTGAGCTTGAAGCTCAGCTTCTGGCGACTACTGGTCTCTCTATCCATCCCGTCCTGTTCCTCCTGGTTATGAAATACTTTAAAGGTCATATTCAGCAGATCGGGGAGAGAGGTCCAGGGTTCCCTCCTCTGGCCCTGGGGCCTCTGGAGGCTCTGCCCACACAGCCCCACACCCCTCTCCTGGTCCTGTACCTGCTCAGCTCTCCCCAACCATTCCACACCCCACCCCTCAACCGCTCTGCTCCCTTCCAGGTGCTTCACCAGTTTCGTTGCCCGCCTGGCCCTTCACCTGCTCTGCTCCAAGGACATCAGTGCTCCAGGGACATCTGTGCTGCCCAGACTTCTGTGCTGCAGTCCTGTGAGTCTCATGCTGTTCCTGGCCCCTCTGACTGGGCCCAGCCCCTGAGCCTCTCCAGAGCCTCAACCTTCCCTGGTGTACTCCTGTTCACCATGGCCACTGAGTGGTTGTGCTTTGGGGGTGGGTGTCTTCTGCCAGGTATGGCGCTATTTTTAATCTTTGTTGCTCTCCAGTTCCAATGCTGCACAACATTCCAGGATAATTTCTAATACTCTATCTCTGGCCCTGATGATTGCTGAAGGGGCCACTGCACTGGAAGGCCAGCCACGTCTTGGGGGAGGTCTTAGGGTGGTGCTGGAGGGCTGGGGAATCTGGACTGATTGTTTTGGCCCTGCTTTCCTGGTCCCTCTCCAGCTGGGGGCCTGTCTCAGTGGTGCTGCTGTGCTCCCCAGCGTCCTCCAGCTGGAGGACTGACACCGAGGTGCTGCTGTGCTCCCGGTGTCCTCCTGCTGGGGTCCAGCCACAGAGGTGCTGGTGTCCCCCCAGGCGTCCTCCAGCTCTGGGCCTAGCACAGAGGGTCTGCCTTCGGGGTGTCCTCTAGCAGGGGGCCTGGCCCTGTGGCGGTGGTGTGCTCCTGGGTGTCCTCCAGCTCAGGGACCTGGCGGAGATGACCCTGTTGCCTGGGGTGGCATCCTTCCCCTCTTTTGGACTTTCGCAGGATACCGGCCTTCGGGCATTCCCCAAAACCTCGGCTGCGGAGGGGGGCAGGTGGGCACTGGGTGCTTTCGCAGGATAACTGGCTTGGGGTTCCCCGAAACCTCGGGTCACCAGGCTCCCGGAAGGTGACGCACTTCGGCACCTGGAAGGTGACGCGCCTGGGCTGCTCCTCCCCTTCCTCCTCATAGTCCTCCTCCTCTGCCTGCTTCCTGGAGCAGAGGATCAGGTAGGTGGCCATGACTTCGTCGTACTTGTTAGCATCAATGGCCTCCCGAATTTCCTGCCTCTGGTAGCGCAGGCGCTCCATAGCTTTGGTTATGGCCGGGTCCTAGGGGCTGAGCGACGGCTCACTGAAGGGCAGGAGTCCCTGCTCGTTCCTGCTACCCAGGCGTGCTGCTGGATGCTCTCCAGGGGCGGCGCCTCCAGGGGTCCCGTGCCATCATTTGGCCAGCAGGTCCCCGCCCTGGACCGTGAGGTAGGAGGTCAGGTGGTCGTTCCCGCCCAGGACCCGCTCCCTGATAGCGTGAGGCTGGGCCCCTGAAGGGCAGTGTGCCGGTCACCATTTGGTAGGGCATGATGCCCAGGCTCCACACATGCACCTTGGGGTCGCTGTACCGCTGGCCAAGGTAGACCTCGGGGGCCCTGTGTTCTGGGCGACAGCAGCACGTGCTCAGCGCCCGGTTGAAGCCCTGGACGCTGAGCCCGAAGTCTGCCAGCTTGACTTTTCCCTCTCGGGTCAGCACAATGTTCTCGGGGCCTCACATCCCGGTGTGCAATGCCTTTGGCATGGCAGTGTCTGAGGGCCGCGAGGATCTGCTGAAAGAGCGGGCGGGCCTCGCTCTCGTCCAGGCGCCCACGCTCGCTCAGGAAGTCCTGCAGGTCTTCCCCTGCACGTACTCCATGACGAGCTGCAGCTCCTGCCCGGTGTCCACCACCTGGAAGAGCTCCATGATGTTCGGGTGATAAAGGGCCTTCATGCACCCCATCTCGTGGGCCAGGAGCTGGAGGTCAAGCAGCACGGACTTCCGGACGCCCCTGATGTGCACCTTCATGTCTGTGAGCTCGTGCAGCACCAGCATAACCTTGGTGTGGGTGTCCCGCCCCAGTGCCTGCAGTGCCTGGTAGCTTTTTGATTTATGTCCCTGAGGAGTGAGGCGATTGCACATAGCGCCTATGCACTTGGACTATGCAGACTACACTAAGCAGCCCTGACTGTGCTCACAGCCCTTGCGCTACCTCCGCTGACAACTGACTCTCCTACAATATTAACAAATGTACTAGTACTAATAGTACTCAAGTATTCACTAAACCTCACTAAACACTGACAATGCTAACTTAACTCAACCAGCAATACTAACTTCACTCACCTTACTAGCAATACTAACTGCACTAAAAATAAATGAAAATACACAATCAAACAAATTACAAATGATATAAAAATGTAAAAATATGGTAACAATAAACCAATTTCAAACTGTCCACTAAATTGAAGAATAAAACAGAACAACAACAGAGACCAATAGAATAAACAACAGAACAAGCCACAATTAGAAAATAAAAACTGGAAAAAACAAGCAAACAAACAAAAAAAACTAGAGAAACGACAAAGGGGAAGAAAGAACAAACAAAAACAAGAACAGAAGGGAAAATGGGGAGATCACTCAAAAAATAAAATCAAAAAACTAAAAACTGACATAAAAGAATAAAGAAAAAAGCCAATAACAAAACAATAAAGGAAATAAAAAAACAAGGAAATAAAGAAAAAAGAAAAAGTAGAAAAAGCAAATAAAAAAAAGCAATAGAAAAAAAAAAAAAAATCAAGGAAAATAATGGAAAAAACAAAGAAAGAAAAATAAAGTAACTAAAATAAACAGCCTAAACATAACTAAATAAAGTAAAGCAATAAATAAACCAAAAGAAAACCAAATACCCCAAAACACGCTCTCACTCTCTCTGTCGTGGTCCGGAGTGCACAGGTCACTGTCCAAAGCTTCCCGGCTCCTGAGGACACAGGCACAGTCCGGGCGGGCCTGATGTAGGCGGGGCCGGTGCCATCACAATGGCTCTTTGTGGCGTCAGAGCTACAGGCCACAGCCATTGGCAGAGGGAACCCCCAGCGGTTTCTCAGCCTTAAGGAAGAAGCTGCCGCTTAACGACAACCCTTGGAATGCCCGAGAGGCCCTTTCATTTGTCCTGAGCAATCCCGTCCTGGGTTTTGGCTTTTCCAGGCGTCCCCATCCTGGCCCTGCCTTGTGCAGATGCTTTACTGTCGCGCTCACACTGTGCAGAGAACAGCAAACAGGGGCGCAGGCGGTTGGGCGCGGGCTGGGGAGCTGTCCACAGCCTCTGCCGCGCCCGTGAGGGTCCCACGTGGCGCGCAGACCCCTCCTGCCCAGCCCGCTGCTCCCCTCAGCAGTGCATTTCAGTCAGTCTGCCTGTTCTGTTCCCGGCTCTGTCTCTGGTGAATCCTCTCACCCTCCCGCGCATCTGGCCTGTACCCCGGTGCTTGTATAAATAAAATCTTTAAAAAAAAATTAAAAAAAAAAAAAGGCACAGTTACTACTGTTGGAGTGAACTAGTAAGGTTTAAATTCTAAAATTTTCAAGAGGTAATTTCAGATTTCTTTTTCAGCCTGTCTTTCTTTTTGGGGGCTATAATTGTCATGGAGTCTAGTTTAGTAGAAAAATAACATTAAATAATAATACTATATACACAATAGTTCCTTTGGAAGAACAAACTACAAATACAATAGGTCATAACAATACCAATGTGCTTTAAAAACTAAAAAAAATGTTAGGTAATTCAGAACACTTCGTTTTTAGGTTGCTTTTAACACTTTTGCCAACAATGATTTAATAGTGATAAATATCAGGAAGTATAAGTATCATTGTTTTAATTCTATATATATTACATATATCAATATGTGCACTTACAAATACATTAATAAGTATCTGAGGAAGGAGATTAGAGAAGAGAGGTTAATCATTTTTCCAAGGTTACCTATATATGATATTCACTCAAAAGAAACAATGACTAATAATTGAGAAACTACACTGTACTTTTGTAGAATTGATAGTGTTCTAGTGATCAGGATATAGAGAGAATGTTGTGATAAAACTGACTTTTCAGTGACAGGGAAAAAGCACATAAAAAAGTTTCAAAAAATCCAACAGAGAAATAACAAATGGTTATAGGATCTGTAAAAAGGATCGAAACATACCAATTGAATTTTCAATACCATTTAGGATAACATCAAAATATGAAACCCTTAAGGATATTTTTAATAAAATGTATGTATCTGTAAAGCTATGAAAACATTATTCTTTAATGGAAATTCTAAGACTTCAATAAATGACAATATGAACTCTGTTTACAGACCAGGATGCATACAGCAAAGTTTGGGAGAAAGCACAATTGCAGAGGGGATCACAGAGAGGCAGAAATGACAGAATCACCCTGCAGTAAGAAAAAGGAGGTCAGTGTTTCATGTGGACAAAGGAGAAGAATTGCGAGATAAGGTCAAAAATATTCACAGAAACTAGTCACTCAGAACTTCATGCCAATTGTGAAAATGGAGAGAGGTGTTGGAGAGTGAGAGTGAATGAATAGTTTGTGTTTGAGAAAAATCTCTTTGCATTGGGAAACTAGATTGTAGGAGAACAAGAATGCAACAGGGAAAACAACAAGAAACTTGAAACTTAGTAGACAAAGAGAGAGGGTGGGTCAGAGTGGTACTTGCTTAGGATTTAACTAATAGGGCTGATTTGGATGGATATAGAAAGTGAGGGAAAGACAGAAATTAAAGATGCTGCCAAACTTTCTATCCTGAGCAACTTGTAGATGTAATTGCTATTTGCTTTTTTTTTTTTTTAAGTTTTATTTTTATTTCCTGAATTCAGAGAACAAAGAGTAGAGGTTTGGGTAGATAGAAGATTGGTGTAGTTGAAGAGGTTAGGTTCCATCTTCTTTTATAAGAAATCACACCACTCTATCTAACAAAGATTTATTGATATATAATGTTGTGGGGAAGAATCAAGGTGTAGGCCCTGTTGCAGGGGTGAAAGAATTCACCAGAGACAGATGAGAACAGACCAGGTGAATTAATTGAAACACACTGCTAAAAGAAGCAGAGGCGAAATAGGAGGGGTGTTCTGTTCAGAGTTTGGGTCCCTAGTCTCTATTTATACTCTAGACACCATTGACTGGTTAGGGTGACTAGTCTTGGGTGTGTCCTGACTGATGATCTGAATCAGCATAGAGGGTCATCAGTTCTGGGCTTCACCAGCTTAAGGTCCATTTCCATGGCAGTCCCATCCACTCCCTTTATCATTCCAGCCTCCCATACTTGCCTGCTGGGTAACAAGTGGGGTCTTGGTTTTCAAATTCTTAATGATACTTTGACAGGCCAGAGGTGCAGGGTGAAAAATTTCACCAGAGGCAGACTGGAGAACAGAAAAGGCACATTTGTTCAAATACACTGCTAAGAGAAGCAGCAGGGGAGACAGGAAAGATCTGCAAGTGAAGAAAGATTGGGGTCCCTTTTATAACTGGTTTTGTCAGTTTTGCTTTGGGGAGTAAGTTTTGGGCTGGTTAGTGCAGGGGTGTCTGATCCTGGGGGTTGATCTTTGACCCAGAATGTGTCCTGGCCTTGCCTCCACATTCCTGGTCAAAGGGATCCATCTTACGGTTTGGACCCAGAGCAGCCTTATCAGTTCTCTCTGTGTTCAAGCCTCCCAAACCTTCCTGCTGGGCAAGGTGGGGTTTAATTTTAACCTTATTTAACGCTACCCCACCAGATACCATTTGGTTTCTGTTTTCCTGCCACAGTGGATACTTCCTATATGCGATTTACATTCCCTCTTCCTGGTCTTCACCTGTCTGCATCCGTTAAATTGGAAGTCTCTACTGACAGAAACAATTCAAAGCATGCACTTTATGACTTAACACTCTTATATCAATAAGTGTCAAATAAATTACCAAAAAGAGAAGCCCAAATCCCCAAAGGCTAAACACGGAAGCAATTCTACAATTTCTTAAGAGAGAATTTCTGAGAATTAAATTTGTAAATATGGTGAATCAAAAGCAGCAAAAGGGGTTGAATAGGGTTGCTTTATGTTTTATTGCTAATTCCCTGTCAAAGCCATATGTTTAATTACCAAATATTAGAACATGTGCCCATCAAATTTTAGCGGGGAAGGAAGTCCTGAGCTAATTCCATACAGGCTTTGTGGCCTCCACCCCCACTCCAGACCAAAGCCATCAGGACACTGGGAAAGACAAATCCCATCACCACCAAAAGAGTTGCTGGGACCTGAGGGTGGAGTTAAGCATCCAGGTTTGATATAAAACCAGACACATGGGTCTTGGGGGCCCCCTTCTTGGCTTCACGGCTCTTGGCTCGCGGCTACATCTCAGAGTACCATTGGGTTTCCAGGTCGGCGGAACGGGTAGGACGCATTTAAGACTTTATTTCCCTATTTTCTGCCTGAGTTGTACATTTCCTAATTTCCCCTTTCCTCAGAGTGCACTCATCCCTCTTGTGGACCTGACTCAGTATGTTCCTGACTACACTGAGCGGGATGAGGAGAGAGCTACTGCATGGGGATTTACTGAGTTTGACCCCAGCTCCACCTGGAGAGTAACCCCCATGGGATGATACTCCTCCAGAAGGCCCTGGTATATCCAGTGCTAAAACATCTTCATGGAGGATCTCACTATGGAGAGATGCCTTATTAGAAACAGTGTGCCCATATTTGAAGGACCCATATTTACATAAAATAGCACACCTGGGGCTGTCAACTATGTGCCAGGAATAACCCAAGACTGACCCCACCCTAAAGCCGTTGGGTTCAATATCGGGCAAGTGCCCTTTTGAGGACTGGCAGGTGGACTTTACACAAATACTTAGAAAAACAGGCAGTTTCAAATACATACTGGATTTTTGGACATGTTCTCCAGATGGGTGGAAGCTTTTCCCACAAAGACGGAGAAAGCTTCCAAGGTGGCAAAAGAGCTGCTGAAGGAGATAATCCCTCGCTTTGGGTTGCCCAACTCCATCCAGAGTGATAATGGGCCAACATTCATCTCTGACTTTACTCATGCAGTAAGCACTGTGTTACAGATCAGCTGGAATTTGCATGCT